AATTATGCTGAGTCAGGCTTGATTTTTAGTAATCTTTTCCTGTTAAATAAATCAATCAAATCAAWTCAATTTTCTTCTGGTTTTGTAATATGGAGAGCTCAAACTGAGTTAAAGAAAAAAGGTTCAGTGGAAGCAAACATCGTCAGAGTACAGATATGATGCAGAGTCTAATTACAACAGCTCTRCAGAGGCAACGCAGGTGCAGGCTGAAATGAAGCAGAAACGGCACAGCAGAAATCCTACCAGTTAACTTGAGTMTTTGCTAAGTTAGCCATCTGCTCCTAGTCCCCCTCCTGAAATAAACCTATTTTTTTTTTCTTATTGCTGCTCTTCTTGACCCTAAACAGCTGAGAAAATACTCTGAACTGTGCATGTAAGAAACAAAGTTTAAAGATATGTTGAAAGGTTAGGTTGGAAAATGTAATACTTAATCCCAGTAATCAAAAACTTGTTTTATTAATTCAAAAATATTCATTTCCGWTGTTGAATTAGCTTTCATGAATTGGGGTAAACGCAACATTTAGATAATATTCTAATGATTGGTTATAAAGWTGGTTCTAGATTTACCTTATTTTCTGCTTTCCATCTGCTTTAATTACCTAATAGTGTTTTAGTCAGTAATAAAACTTTCTGACTCAATTTTTAAACTTGTATCTGGTTAACCCGGCCTCTTATTTGTTATGTTTGTAAGCACCAAGCATTTCTACCATACTGCATGATTCTCAGTTGAATCAGTGATTAGAAACGGCCAAAATCACGGGGCAACGAAACCATGACACTTACATCACTTGGATTTGTCATAACATGTTCCCCATTTTTTTTTATCTGCCTCCTAAAACAACAAAGTGATAAAGTTTTTGCCCCTACAATCCCTGCATCTATAATTTAACTTTTGGAGTCAACTTACTTCAAGATGGTGGCCACAGCTAATTAACGTTTGCCAATGCAACAATGACCATAACTCAGATAATTTTACAGATATTAAGATGAAGTTTTGTGGTAGTAGCTGAAAGTCATTTTAATGAATACTCTGAGGCCTAACAAAAATCACATCTTACAAGCYTGGTCTCAAACTGGCTTTTTAAAATGCTACTATGAAATATTCAACTTATAACACACATTATAGACTATTCCATTTTTTATTCTTTTGCAAACAAAGTCTTCTTTTTCTCACAAACATAACACTGATCTATAAGTTGATACAGTACAAATGCAGGCATTTTCATCKTTTTTGCACTGGGACTGAGGTTTATTTTCTGCTCTTTTTGTCTTCCTGTCTWTTTAAAGCTTGCTTATCAGGAAGAAGGGACATTTATTTTGATCTTGTTTACTTGTGAACTATACGTAAAAGCATCAATGTTTTATCAAWTTATTACAAAAGTGCACAACAATTGTATATCGTCTTCAAACAGTTCTACGCTGAATTATCAGCTAAATTGTAGGCATTGCAATAATTTGTTTATTAGTTGTATTAGTATTTTTTTCATGTAAAGTTTTTATATTTGTCTTTTCAATGTTCAAAATGCCGTTTATTTCTCTTTTGCACTGTTTTCATGCTCAAAATCCATGTTTCAAATGTCAAATCAAAAGTTCATGTCCAATATCAATGTAATTTGAGAATGTACATGTTTTTTCACATTTGAACTGTTATTTGGCCAAATTTCGCCCGTGTTTAAAGTTATCTTTTGCTTTGTATTTTGTACACCCAGTGTCCTAGACTCAAAAAATGAGTGGTAAATATTGTAAACATGYATAGGGTCACATTTCAAATGCCAAATCAAAACTTCATTAACATTCTGAATATTGTTTCTCAATAAACCTTGAATTTTTTTTTTCGTTTTAGTATTTTTCTTCATGTAAACTGCTGAAATTTCCTTATAATGTGCAATAATCATTGAACAAATGTTAAAAAGTCAAGTTTAACTACTCATGGGGAAAAGAATCAAAGCTCTCAAACTTAGGACATCCTGATCATTTTATAACCATTTTAACAATGTATGTCCAAATTGACATTATAGCCATGGTGCTTAAAGGGTTAAATACTGATATTACTGTTTAATTTTTGTAAACAGTTTTAGATGCACTTTCTGGTCATCAGTACAGTGGACCAGGGGTTCTCAAGCCATTTGGGTCTGGGGACCCCTTACAAGGGCGAAATAAATCCCAGGGCCCCCCTCATAAGCCCCATGCAGTTTTTAAAGGGATCCCCTATTAGCTGTAACATTAGACTTTATTTAATAAAAATATATTTAACTGTAAAATAAAGACTGTAAAAACACTGTAGGATGTTTAGTTTTTATAATCTTTAAACTAAAAGTTTAAAAATATAGTTCACGGACAGGGCCATTTTATTTACAAGCAAAGCATTCTGGGTAAATGATGACTTGGGTAGGCCATCGG